GGGGTGAGGGGGGACCTGGGAAGGCCACGGATGCAGAGAACTCGCTCCCTCTGGGCTCCGTCAGGTGGGCGGCTCGCTATGCTGCTTGCCCTCTGAACCCCAGTCCTTGCAGCAGGATCACTTGGAAAGCCCTGGGCCTTTCCTTGCCTCCCCTCCTTCCTGATGGCACGTGGGCTGGGGCCCGGGTCACTCAGACGTGCACAAGAGATATTTCCGCAGCAGGGGCGCACCTGGGTACAGCCAGGAGTTGGGGGGCTCAGTGGGTTAAAGCCTCTGCCTTCGGCTCAGGTCATGATCTCAGGGTCCTGGGATCGAGCCCCACATCGGGCTCTCTGCTCAGCGGGGAGCCTGCTTCCTCCTCTCTCTGCCTGCCTCCCTGCCTACTTGTGATCTCCGTTGTCAAATAAATAAATAAAATCTTAAAAAAAAAAAAATCTGCAGCAAACCACCCCCGAACCTGTATGATTCCTCCCACCTTCCATCCCTGACTTCAGCTCCGCTCCCACGTCAGGGGCCTGAAACCCAAATATCTTCCCTGGAAGAGAAGAATGTGCCCCTGCATCTGGCAGAAAACCCTGTCCGTCCCCATAAGGATCACCTCTAACGTCACGGAGGCCAGCTCTCCCCGCCAGCCAGTAAGCCTTCCTCTAAACGGTGACAGTGCCCCTATTTCCCGGGGAGTCACCTCCCCCCAACTTTTACCCCATGTGCCTGGGGTAGAGACGCTGGCCTCACACCCTAGCTGAGATTCCCTGGCCACTGGAGCTGGGCAGGGCAGGGAAGGTGGCCCACACAGGGCCCAGAGAGCCGGTCCAGCAATATTTGCTGGAACTACTGGAGAAGGCGGTCTGCTTCTGCTTCTGCTCCTGCTTTGGCATCCTGAGCTGCCACTGGAAACTTAGAGCTGCTAAGAAATGCCTGTGTTTGATGAGGGGGGCCTGCCTGAGGCTCTGCCCTGCCCAGGCAAACCCCTTCTGGGTACAGTGTCTACCCCAGAAGAACCGCAATCAGGATCTCAAAGGGGTGTCTGCATCCCACATTCACAACAGCCAAAACACAGAAACAAGCCCGATGACTACGGACAGATGGGGACGGAAAAGGAGGAACACGCCTAAGTGGTATCACGCAGCCTTAGAAAGGAAGAAATCTTATTTGTGACAGTATGGATGAACTTGGAGGCCATTATGCTACCGGACGTGAGGCTGTCACAGGAGAAGTCCTGTACGATTCCCTTTCCGGAGACATCTAAAGTGGCACCACAGAAGCAGAGAAGAGAAGGGCAGTTTCCAGAGGCCAGAGACGGATGATGGGCATTGGCGCTGAAGGGTTACAAAGTTGCAATCACGCCAGGTGGATACATTCTCAAGTCCACACTGTGTCTGTCGCTAACAAGGCAGAAATGCCTGCTTTGAAACACGATAGGAGGATAGAGCTCCTGGCCAGTGCTCTTACCACAAAAACAAGAAAGAAATAGCAAAGGAAAAAAAAAGTCACAAGGAAATTTCTGGAGGTGCGGACAAGCTCAGTACCGTGATGATGGTGATGGTGTCGTGGGTGCACGTGTGTGTGCACACTCGAGACCTATGCCCTGACTATGTGCAATGTTTTGTACGTCAGCATGCCTCAAACCACAGAGCTAGCCAGGACACGGAGGAAAAGATTCTTGTCATCTACTGTGGTTACATTTTATCGTCGTGGCAAACACCGAGTCAGCAAACACAGAGCCGCTGCTCGGGGGAAACGGGCTCCTGCCAGCTTCTAGACACAGCCTGAGGGTTACCTGCGTGGGTACGGAACCATGTCTTAGGTATGTTTCTGTGTAAAGACACCTTACCTAATACTGCTGCCCCCTGGCCCCCGAACTGCCGGCCACCAGCACCACATCTCACATCTGCGAGAAGCTGCTTGGACACATGACCACCCCCGCCCCCCAGGAGAGCCTGCACTCAAGACGCCCACCTGCACTCCAGCTTCTCCCCCAGCTCCCCCATTTCTTGATCAGTGCACTGAATTCTACGTGAGGGCCATGGGCAAGAGTGGAAAATGGGAGCTAGGAATTTCCTGGGCGGAGAGAGGGGAAGGAGGATCAGGAAGAGAGAACCAGAATGGGCCCACGGGCAGACTGCCCGGGTCCTTCTCTGCCAGCAACATTGCTGTGGGTGAGGACGCTACCCTCTCCTCTCCTGGCTGAACCCCAACAGACAGACCCGGCCCACACTACTGCAAGATGTTCCCCACGAGTCATCACTGCCTCTGCAGGGGGGACAGGTGACCCCGCCACCGTCCCTGTGACTCTGCACAAGCATCCCTCCCCGGGGGCCCTGACCCAGGGGAGCCAGCGTGGGAGTCTGTGGGCCCAGCGCTGTCACGAGGCGACTTGCCCTCTCCCACAGAGCCCACTCAATGCCCCACTAGCCAGCCCAGGTCCCCTGAAATTCCCACGGACGAGGCCTGGACCCTGCCCCACACACTCCCGCCCTGACCCCACCAGGGGAGGGGGGCATGGCCCTGCTTGGCAGGCCTGCAGTGAAGGGACAGGAGGGCTTGAGACTCCCATCCAACAACCAAGAGCATCAAGTCACCCCCGAGGTTTGTTATTCTGAGTTTTAGGATAGCTACGTGTTGGCCGGTCACAGAGCCTATCCCTGTCCCGTGTCCTGAGAGCCCGCGAACCCCCAGCCCTCCACTGCACTGAGCTCTTCCAAGCTCCCCACCGGGTCTATGAGCTTTTAGGTTATAGTGCTGGGAGTCACATCACATCTCTCCAGCTCTGGGAGAGCCAGTCCCCTCTTCTCCCCTGACCATAGGACCCCCTCCCTAGCCTGCCCTGATCCTCGTGAGAGGACCTCAAGCAGACGGAAGCTCAGAGGCCTCGCTGGCCACCGGCCCCCAGGTCTTCTGTCTTCCTAGAGGAATGCCTGCACTGCCCCCGCTCAGGCAGCGGGGGCCACCGTCCAGGGCCCACCCCAAGGATACTCTGTCCAAATGGGGTTCACGCTGCCCCTTTAAACTCTGTCATTAAAGTTTCCCAGGGACACAAGGGTCCACTGAGCTCCGGTGAGTCAGCTCGCTAAACCCATGGCCAGAGCCTGACCTCCCCATGACCTTCGCCTCCCCCTACCCTGCATCTGCCCCAGCCCGGGCTCCTGACTGGGTTTCAAAAAGCCACATCCTGTGGTCAGACGCAGAAGTCTGAGGACAGCAGGGAAAGGCGGCTCTTTCCGGAGAAGGTGACTTCAGCTGTCAACAGTTCCCGGCTGATTTATTTTCCTTTTCATATCCCTCTGGAAGGCTTAACTTTGTCAGGTGTCTTCCTTAGAATTTCTATGTGGAACTCTCTAACTGGGGTCCAGGCTGGGACAGCAGAGCGCGTCTGAATCTGTTGTACCATCTTTGTTTGACCCACGCGTGGTGCTCTGTGCCGGGCCAGGGCACACGGTTACAAAGACACGGAGGGGAGCCCGTCCTCACAGCACAGAGCCCGTCCTCACACCTGAACCCTCCCCTCCCCTCCTCTCATAGGGCACGGCCACGACACCGAGAACACCGCTGCTGTCGTCCAGAAACAGCTATTCTCTGTCACTTCGGAAAACATTCCACTCAGTCTTAGCAGCAGTGCTGTGGGCTGGACTGGGGCCTCGGTCGGTATATTGAAGCCCTAACCCCCAGAACCTTGGAACGCGACTGTATTTGGACACGGGGCCTTTAAGGAGGTAATTCCTGTTAAATAAAGCCCTGAGAGTGGGGCGTCATCCATGACTGGTGTCCTTAGTGGAGAAGAGACGTGGCGGGGGGCGGAGCACGGCCACAAAGCAGACCCGTGAGGACGCAGTGAGCAGACGCCATCGACAAGGCTAGGGGAGAGGCCGACATCGGATACGGGGCTTCTAGAGCCCGGAATGGTGAGAAAATACATTTCTGCCAATGAGGCCACCTTCCGAGGTGTTTTTCTCCGGCAGCCCGGGAGGACTGATGTAATCAGCTCAGCGCGGACTCTCGCGCACCAGGCTTCGGCCCAATGCCTGCCTGGGGAGCGAGGCTCGCGGGCCGACACAGAGGAGAATGCAGGCCCGGCTGCTCCTGCCACGGCGGGGACCGGACGGCCCAGATGTACCCCCACACAGTGGAACGCGAACATCACAGCACAGTCAGCGCTACTCCAACAGTCGTGCGGAAAATGCAAACGTGTTCCCATGCTGTGTACTGGGGAACAATCTGGTCGAATGTGAAGTTTGTGTCTGCTTAGGAACGAGTTTGTTCGCAAGAAGATGAACACAGAGACGTGAGTGCAGCCGAACGGAGCCGCCTGGGCACGGAGATGCCGGCCCCCCTGGCTGGCGTGCATCCTGAGCCCCCATCTGTACCTGCGCCGTCCCAGCCCTCTTCTGACTTCCGACTTCACAGCACTATCCTCATACCACCAGACAAAAACACACAACGGCAACCCTTCCAAGACTCACCTCCGCAAGCAAGTGCCACTCCAGCCTCTAGGTCCCCTCTAGGATCCTATTCTTTTCAACTATCAGGGATCTTTCTTGACTGGGTGGTCCTAACCCGCGTCTTCCCTACAATGGTTTTTATTTCATGAGTCTGCATACTGCAGTGATTTCCAGGAACGTGCATGTTGCCTTACAGCAGAACTGACTTTATTTAAATGGTGCAGTAATGAACTCCACGGCAGGGAGCTGAAGCTTAAGTAATAAACGCCCTGATCATGATCACACGTAATTAAATACTTGAGGCATAAACCTCATTACAGAATACGCGGTTCCGGTCAACGTACTGATATCGCCTCCTAGTGACCACATCTCCTAATTGCAGGTAAAATACAGAAAAAATGAATTTAAAAAATTCATGTGATAAAAATGAATTTTAAAAAATGTTATGTGGTAAATGAAGCCATTGCACAAACCAAGTCAAACACAAGTACAAATATGATCTGTTTACTGAAAGACGTTGGTCTCCAGAGTCAAACAGCCTGTGGGGGGAGCCGCACTGACCTGTCATGGAGTTTTCTGAGGTGCACAGCTGCTCTCTGAGCTTCTCCACGTCGTCAGGATGCACCTGTTCGTACAGTGTGCTCCCAAACCATTCTGACTGGGGCTGGTTCAGCACAGGGGTGACGGAATCAGACACGTAAATCACGCGTCCAGTCTCTGCCGCCACCACGAATAGAAAGCCGTCTGCTGCTTCCAGGATGAGGTGCTTCAGTTCCTGGGAAGCAAAGATCAAGAGGAGGACTGAGCACGGACAAACCCCATCCAGTTAAATTTTCACCTCAGCAACCTTCCACTTTTGCTCCCTTGTTGTGATATGCAAGTAGTTTTAGAAATTTGATTCCTTTTTGTAATTGAAAAATAAGCTTAAAAAGGCACATAACTTGTCCTAGTTCTAAGATACAGCTACTGCAAATACGGCTGGCCCTGATTTAACCAGCTCTCTCTTAGAAAGAGAGGAAACTTCCAGCCCAGGGGGCTGATGGAAAGCAAGGAGTGATCACCAGACTGTGTGGGGAGGCCAGAGGTGTGAAACTGCAGTCACGTCCTGGGGCACAAGAGGGACCCAGCACACAGTGCTTGGTACAAAAGGTGCTGCTGGAAGGAAGGGAGGGGAAGAGAGAGCGGAGAGTGGGAAGGACAGTCTCCCAGCCACCGCTCCCACGCTGGGGGTGCATTCCCGCTCCCGCTCCTCCTGCCCTCCCGGCTGAATGCCGGCAGTGGGTACAAGGGTCTCTCCTTACACTGGCACATCTGTCAAACTTCCAGAACTCCTGCACAGGCTCTCAGAGCAATGCTGGGGGACGGCCCGGCACCCCCCCATTGTCCGTATCACCTCACAGTGAAGACAGAGTTTAGCAGCACCAGCCTGGAGGTCACGCGGACTCACCAGGCTCGTGACTGTCAGTAAAGGCGGGGGGAGCTGCTTGGAATCGATGAGTGGGCAGCAGGACACCCTGCCATCATCCCCAGAGGGGCATGAGTGGAGCCAAGTCAACTTTGTTAAAAGATGTCTTTTCTTTGCCAGGAGGCAGCGCACCTGCGGCCGCCTACTGTGTCATTCTCACATTAAGCTCAACGCAGTGGCTCCGTCCTCTAGGGCCTGAGAAGCTAACGCCCCCACATGCCCCTGTGCCCTCAGGTGTGCCTCCAAACACCCCAGACACCGACAACTGATGCCCTTCCCAAGAGCAAAGGTCAGCTGTCGGCAAGCACTTCTTGCTGGGAACCCTTCGTTCAGGTGTCGCCCGATAGAGAAGCCCCATGGAAACCCCACACAGACGCAGACGGTGGGACTCTGATGCCACAGGCCCGGCTGAGGGCACTCCAAGGACCCAAAGACCAGAAAACAGGGTCTGCTGGTGAGCAGAATCTGGGAAGCCCTGAGCCCTTGGCTGGGTCAGAATCCTCACATTGTCTGCCTGGGAACCTAGGGCCGAAGGAGACTATACAGCATTTTCTGAGAAAAGTTTATTTTGTCCATTTCTCTTGCTTTGCGCTTCTGCTGATCCACTCACTTAGCTCAGGGAACAGGTCAGCCGCTTTCTTTTCAGGATCAGAAGACGGAAGAGTTTCCAACAGGAAGGACCACAACACAGAGCAGGAGGTCTGGGAAAGCTGCGAGTTCTGAGGCCAGGGCCAAGGCTGAGGGCTGTGGGAAGGTTTCAGGACAGAACCTCACCTTCGTCGCAGCCCCTCTGTCTACGCTTCCCCCCCCCCCCCCCCCCCCCCCTCTTCCCCCCCCCCGTCCCCGCCCCCCCCCCCCCCCCCCGCCAGATTTGTCTTCCAGGAGCCTGTCACTGGCCATCAAGGTCCCCAGCCTCCACTCTCTGGTTAAACCGACAGGAAGGCTCGTGAGTGTGGATTCTGGAGGAAAAGCAGGTTCCCATCCACGGCCCTCAGCTGTGCACCTCTGGGCACATTACCATCCTCAGCTTCCATTTCTTCCCACGGTTCTTCTCAGTGGGATTTTGTGAGGTTAAATGAGGTCTTGTCAACTATCACATGATTTCATTTATGCGTGGAATTTAAGAAACAAAACAGAGGATCATAGGGGAAGAGAGGGAAAAACAAAACAAGATGAAATCAGAGAGGGAGACAAACCATAAGGGACTCTTAACTCTAGGAAACACACTGAGGGCTGCTGGAGGGGAGTTTGGTGGGGGATGGGGTCACTGGGGGGTGGGCATTGAGGGGGCACGTGATGGAATGAGCACTGGGTGTTACACACATGTGATGAATCCCTCACCTCTACCTCTGAAGCTAATAATACACTGTATGTTAATTAACTGAATTTAAATTAAACTAAAAGAAAATAAAAATAAATGAGGTCTTATGTGTGGAGGCTTGGTAAGGGCTTGGCACACAGTCGGTGCTTAATAGATGCAGCTGAGCTCACACCAACCACGTGCCAAGGGACCAAGGGAGAAACGGGCTGGACGCACTGAGTCTGCATGCCCGCCTGATCTCCTCGCTGCCGAATGCTCGGTCACGGAGACCGGGACGTTCATTTCAAACATGGACCTCGCAAGATTTTTGTGAATTAAATGCAGATAAAAAGGTTTGTTCTACAGAAAAAAAATAAAGTTAAAAAAAAAAAGTCTGTTCTTACCCCAGCGACTAGGAGGCGTGTAACACGTTTCTGCCCCCCCCCATGGAGACATTGCACCCACAGGAAGCCCCAGCATCACAGGAGGTGGGAGCGGCCCCTGCGTCCGCGGAGGGGGAGACGGGGCTGGGAGCCAGGTTCCCAGTCCTCCCGGTAATGGTCATGTTACAGCCACACCCCCTCACCCCTGTGAGGGGAGGCACCCCGGAGCCCCCAGGATGGCAGAAAAGGACGCCTTTGCCACAGGGGAGGGCATTCACCTGTGTCCACTCCTTTTCATTGTCCTTTCTCCGAACCTCACCCCCCAACACGAACAGGTCTCAGCCCCAGCAACAGCAGACCATCTGTCTCCAGACTCGCCCTTCGCTCCCGCCTCCCAGGCCCTGCCCTCACGTTCCCCTCACGTCAAGCCCCCATCTCTCCAAGGGCACTCTGGGGCCCCTCAGAGCCCAGTGATGCTGGGGAGCCCCAGGAACGGGATATCCTCCCTCACGTGGGGCTCCCCCCGTTCCTGCACCCCAAGCACATTGTCCCACGCCCACCACCACACACCAAGGCCTTCTAGACCCATCCTTCCGTTGATCCTCTGATCCTGCAAAAGCCCTTGGGGTGGGGGGTGGGATGGGGAGGCCCAAAGCTCCTGTTCACTTCAAAGATGAGCCAAGAGAAGCTAACAGCATCTGTGGGTCTGTCCTCCCTGTGGGGCCCGGAAGGGCAGAGAATAGAGCCTGGGTTCGCGCAGTGGTTTACAACACCTGTAACATGCAATTCCCCCCACCCAAGCCATGCCGCACCTCTGCTCTCCCCAACTCCTCAAGGCCTGTCCAGCTGTGAGAAGGATGGCCCGGGGCCCAGGCCACCTGAACCATCAGTGGACGCACTCGGGGCCACCGGTGGACCCTTTCTAAGCTGCAGCCCTTGTCTACACAGCAGGAACCGATACTAGTGGCTTCTCGTTTGGCTAGAACGAGAAGCACATGGATCACCACGACTGCCGGCCAGCCTGGCACCCACACCACGGCCCAGCAGCACCAGCGCGCTCGGGACCAGCGCACCGCCC